CCCAGTCCTCCATTGCAGGCTCTGCCCAGTCCACTATTGCGGCCTCTGCCCAGTCCTCCATTGCAGGCTCTGCCCAGTCCTCCATTGCAGGCTCTGCCCAATCCACTATTGCGGCCTCTGCCCAGTCCTCCATTGCAGGTTCTGCCCAGTCCTCCATTGCAGGTTCTGTCCAGTCCACCATTGCAGGTTCTGTCCAGTCCACCATTGCAGGTTCTGCCCAGTCCACCATTGCAGGTTCTGCCCAGTCCACCATTGCAGGTTCTGTCCAGTCCACCATTGCAGGTTCTGTTTATTCCAAACTAGGCCAGCCTGGTTTGTGAAGTAATTCCAGGACAGGCCGAGCTACATAGTGAGACCCTGTCTTAAAAGAAAAAGAAAAAGAAAAAAAATCAAGAACCAAAAGAACACAAACAAAGAATAAGTAAAAAGTCACTTGCTTGCCAAACCTGATGACCTGAGTTCCATTCCCAGGACCCATGTGGTTAACGTAGTCCTCCATGCTGCACTACACATACCCATTAAGGAAATAAATGTAGTACAGTTTTCAAAAAGAAATGTTGAGAGTGACAGCACTGTATTGTTTGGAGGAACAGTCTCTTTTCCCCAAGTACTTTGCTTGGCGTGCATGGTATTGTATGTTTTGGGCTTTTTGTAGATGTACTTTATCAGATAACGGAGGTTCCTTTCCACTCTGGAGTCATTGAGTGGTTTTATGTGTTCATTTGTTTATTTTGCAATGCTGGGGTTCAAATCCAGGGCCTTGTGAATGCTGAGCCAACACTTTACCATGGAAGTACATCCCTAGCCCTCAGCTAATATTTAGTCATACATGCACACACAGTCATACATGCACATACAACCACATATGCACACACAATAACACATCAATCAGTCAAGCAAGCAAGTAAGCAATCAGAGCCTCTTGAATTAGAAACCATTATTACAGAATTTTAGAGTAGAGACAAGATTATTTCTTTTTCTGTGAGTAGTTACTACTACTTAGGAAGGGCATTGCAGAATGTGATCTTGAATGTTAAATAATGTTTACATAGGAATAGATGAGGAACAAACCAGTGATAATTAATATTTATAAACTATCTGAGTTTCAGGTTAGAGATGTGCGTGTGTGTGTGTGTGTGTGTGTGTGCGCACACTTGTGGGTGGATGTGACATGAGAAAAATTAGGATTTATTTCTTTATTATACTTCCCACTTGAGAGAAGCTTTGAATGCCACTCACCTTGTGCCCAAATGGTGGGATAAATTAAAAGTGTTTATTTTTTATTCTTTTATAAGTATGGCTATTTTGTCCATAGGGGTTTGTGCTTGGCTCCCATATGTACAATGCCCAAGGAGGCCAGAAGAGAGCATGAGGCCCTTTAGAATGGAGTTATGGCTGGTCAGAGGTGCTGTGGGTGCGGAACCCTCCTTGGCAAGAGCCATTTCTCTAGCCTCTAGCAGATGTTTTTGAATGAATGCTTTTAAGCTGTAAAATCAGTATAACAAAAAAGGATGTTATTGTTTTCAAGAAATTACTTTTAGCATCAAGATCTTACGATACTTCTGAAAAAAATGAGACTTCTGATGGTAGCATTTAAGACTATTGAGGAGTTGTAAAGTTTAGAGAAATCTAAATAGCCATTGGTGCTTTTCACTTACAAAGGGTAGGTACTATGTATAAGGACGTGTCCTCTTTATATTTTTTATATAGAGAAAAATTACTGTTGAAACACTAATTCATAAGTGAAATTTTAAATATTTGAATAATTTGTATTAGGTTTTGGTAGCGTCTTACACTTGGTTTTAGTAGCATTTCATGTAGTCGTTTTCATTATGTTACCAGTAGTAGTTGCTTAGTGAAAGTAAAATATAGGGAAAAATTTATTTTTTGCAAAATATAGTAAAGATTACAATTATTTTTCTTTTTATTATAGCCTGAAAGTGAAATTTCAACCACTGCCGATGAATGTAGCTCTGAGGTAAGATTAACATGACATAATTTCAAATGTTATAAGCAAAAATAATTATTTTATGTCACTAAAATTATTAATTGCTGGTACTTTGTTTCTTGTACATTTTACAGGCTTCTGTTGCTTTTCTATAAATACAATAAAATAACAACAGCATAAATGGTTAGCAAACCACAGGTGTGTTCTACTGCAGTCACTTCCACAATGGAAACTGACATCTTAACTACTCAGTAGTTTTATCTTTAAATACATAGAGACTCTGGTTGGCTTCTGGGAAAGGTTTGATACTGGGTTTCTGGATGTAAGACCACTGTGAAGTAGTCTTATTTAGCACAGCAACATTTTCTAATATTCTGTCTTGAGTAAAGCTTTTCACAAATCTGTAGATTTATGTTAGCCATATGGACTTGTTTATTGCCACTAACGTTGTGTCAGTGACTTTAGGTAACAAACCGTTAGGTGGATATGACCTCTATGATATGTCCTCCTTATGTGCTTGTGAAAAGTGTGCATCACTTATGTGCTTGTGGTAAGTGTGCATTGCTAATGTGCTTGTGGTAAGTGTGCATCACTTATGTGCTTGTGGTAAGTGTGCATCACTAATGTGCTTGTGGTAAGTGGGCATCACTTATGTGCTTGTGGTAAGTGTGCATCACTAATGTGCTTATGGTAAGTGTGCATCACTAATGTGCTTGTGGTAAGTGTGCATCACTTACGTGCTTGTGGTAAGTGGGCATCACTAATGTGCTTGT